ACACACACACACACACACACACACACACACACACACACACACACACACACACTACACTATCCAAATATTGGCTGGCGCTGAGGACGCTGGCAGGCAAATCATTGCCCTGGGCTTAGTGTAATTATCTCAGGCATATTTGGTTTACCCCTAGGCAATTGTTGGCGACGCTTTGCTAGGAAGAGGGGTTCCATGCAAGGTTTTATTGCGTTTAATTGGCTCTATGGAGGGGAGTAAAAAATTTCCATTAAAAGATGTGGAACTTTAGGAGCGGCTATTTATTCATTCCTTCTCCTTTATCCCCCATCCCCCAGAAGGTCCCACGCACTCCTCAGCCGGGGTCCCAGGCGGTCCTAAAGCTTCCGCGGACAGCTGTTCCCAGCGTGAGGAGGAGCGCAGGTCACCGACGGAGCCAGGACGACGTGCAGGACTAGGAAGAAGGTAAAGGTTCATGCACACTTCTTGATTTTCAAGGGTTCTCTGTTGACCCACTGAATTCTGACGCGCGGGGTTAGTTACATTTGGGACTTTTCCAGGTGCTTTCACTGTCGTCCCATCTGGCCTATCGCCTGATGCCCAACCGACTCCTCCGCGCACACTTTCTCCAGCTGCAACCCGTAATATGGGTGGGAGGAAGTCAGCCTGGGACCGGGACACGTGGTTTCCAGCCCCAGGCCTGGCACCGCGGCTGGGTGACCCTGGATGCGTCGTTTTCTCGCTTTAGGCTTTATTTTCTTCGCCGGAAATATACAGGAGTCAGAACTGCTCCTTCCAAGGCTTCGCGCTCCAGGCAGCTGAGGTTTGAGGTTATGGTCCCGACTAGCGGTGTGTGGGTGCCTGGGCGTCGGGCACAGCGAGCTCAGGACCGGTGATGCCCGGACGCTGTGGGGCAGCAGCGCCTCACCTCCTGCGCTCATTGTGTCCAGAGAATCTGTGGTCTCTAGCGTCGCCAGCCGGTCCTTCAGCCTCGCGATGTGCAACCCTCCCCCAACGCTTGCCACCGATCTAGACCCCGCGCCTGGCCCCAGGCGCAGGGGCACAGTTGTTCGCTCCGGCCCTGCTTGGATTTGTGCGCAGAGGCTTGATTTGTCTTTCCGGAATTTCTTCGATTCCCTGCGGATGAAAGGCAGAAGCGAGAACGCTAAGCCTGGGGGTATTTATTTCTTAGAGGAAAAAAAGCATTGGCCTTGAATTTATTAGATGAGACTCGAGACCCAGTTTCGCCACCTACTGGCTGTGTGATTGTCTCCTCTGGGCCTCA